TCTGAAACATGGTGCTCACATTCTTAATCATGATGTGAGCCTACTTCCTCCAATCCTTTCTTCTTCCTAAAGTCCCTCAGCTCAGCTCAAGGACTATTCTCATAGCTTCCTTAATGAGTAATAGTTCACATATAACACTTATCAAGTGTCAGGAATCTTTAAGCACTGTGCTTAGTTGAGTTCCTTACCAACCCCCGAGAAAGGAAATGTGTTCCATTATAAAGGCAATGGTACAGAAGCATAGAGAGGTTGAATGGCCTGGAAGCATGCAGAAATGGCACTGGTACCCGTCATCACTCTCCCCAGAACTGGCGCTTGTTAGCAGGGCCCTGCCATCTGTCCACCAGGGAAGATTCGAAAGGAGCGGAAGTTCTGATTTTGGAGGCCCTGCCGTGAAACACATCATCACAAGTCAAGTCTCAACTCTGGGCTCCAAGTGTCATTGTGTTCCACCTTTGCTGCTCCATGTATTAGCGGATAATATCAAGAGAGTGGGTAGAGATGGCTATCACCGCAGGGGAGTGAAAAGCACAGAGTTTTAGGACTCACGGACAGTCTCACAGAACAACTCAGAAATGGGTGTGTGAACAGTATGTACACATACTGTTATTGCGTCGTAAGTACAGAGTACTGATCTCATTGGGTTATTCATTGTGACCATCCATTTTGATGATGAGGAGATGGAAGATGGAGAAGAAAAGAGAAGCCAAGTTATTAGTTGGGACCTGACCACCCAGGAGTGTCAGACGCCAGGGTCACGACACAGTGGATCCACAGTACATATGTGAACTGCTATTCAGCACACACATCCCATTCCACTCCAAGTGGTTCTTTCAGAGAGAACATGATGATAAAAGAAAAATTATCTTGCCACTATTAAAATCTACCACACCAGAAAAGTAAAACTGAAAAATTCTTCCTCCCCCTTAAAAATGCACACATAACTCTTTATCTGAAATGATTTAAATTCAGTCCGAGCAGAGCATTTGCCCTGTACCTGTAGGAGTTCCAATTGTCGTTGGAATAATGACAATGCTGGTGGAAAGGGGTGCAGAGGAGATGGCTTGGATATAAGGGTGTGGGGGTGTTCACTGCACCGATCCAGCAAACCCACACCCAATCAGACACCAGTCAGACACCTCTGAGATGAAAGGGTGCTGGAGACAGCAGCCCACTCCTGCTAGGAGCCCGAAATAGACAAGGGCGTGTAGGAAACCACACTCCAACCCCGATTCCAAAGGCGAAGGCTGCCACACACAGATCCCCCCACATGGCTCCCAGCCCATGGGAATCCAGCTCCACTCAGTTACTAGCAGATACGTGATGAAGGGAATAAAATTAAGCTTTAGAGGAGTGTATGTAATCTTCTAGAAGTGCATGGAGTGTTCTGGACTGACATCTTTATTCTTAAAATGTAGATGAACCAGGCACAGGTCATTGGTCTTTTCATTAACAGCAAAATCAGTTTAATTAATGTCCATCACAACCCTGTGAGGTAATTTTTACTATTACTTCCATGTTAGGTAATGTTTATTGCTTACTGAATTCAAATTACATTAGACTGGATACAGCAACAGCTCTAAGTAATTCAGGAGCAATAATCTTTAATTGAGGTAATTTGTTTCTATGAGTAACTTCTTGATGGTTTCCTTTCACCAAGCCTGGCTACAACATGGAGACACTGGTGATCTGGAGGTAAGGCAGTCAGATAGATCTACAGCCATGTGGGTCGCAGCTCCAAAGATGGCACCCCTATCTTTACAAATCAGAGAGTGGAACCTACACTGTAAGACAAATAGCAGAGAGCTAGCAGGACACTGGTGGCAGGCAGCCCAGGTGTATTCCAGCTCACCAGTTCCTTTCTATATAATCTTGGCATATTATTTAACCTCTATTATCCTTTGTTTCTTCATCTGTGACAGGGGTTAGTGTTAGTACCAGTGTGATTAAATGTGTCAAGATTGGTAGACAAATTAGACTGCACCTATACAGCAAATCCCTTGTGGATGTTTAAAGAAAAAATATATAAAACTTCTAAGAATTGTCACAAGATGGAAGGGAGCACTGAGCAGTGTGCCACAGGATCACAAGCTCTCACCCTAAACCAGAACAATCGAGACAGGGCATTAGCTGAGAATTTGAAGCAGAAACTGCATTGTTACCAGTAAGTTCAAATAAAGATGATTCTGTGCAAATTGTCACTGTATAGTTAATTTTGCTCATTTGTCACTCTTCATCTCTTCCCTCCATCTCATATTGTCCTCGTCTACTCTCAGGAATGATAGCAAGCCAGCCACCAAATGTTAAATGAAAGTGTGGTTCAGAAGAGCAAACTTGTTTTCAAACCACATTCCAAAGGAAATAGAGGGCCTTGGTTCTCTGATATATTTCATCAACTCTGTAAACATTATCAAAGAAGAATTTCACATTTTTGCTTTTATTTAGGAAACTATGCCAAGTTAATTTGTTTTAAAAAATAAAAGTGGAAGTCATTTATCAAAAGGTTTTAAGGTATCAGGGAATTCTATAAGCACTGCAAATAGCAACCAAGTATTTTCTAACTATGCACCAATGAATTTCAGAAACTTGCTGAAAATTCCCTTGCATTGATATCTGTGTGCCTGCCTCATTTGGGTATTTTGCACATGTGTATCCATATATAAGAACTTTATTTTTTACAGATACCCACACCCACATTCCCCATAAGAGCTACTTGAAATAGGCAAGTGCTTGTGGAAAATAAAAATGTTAGGACCGAACAGCTAAACAGAAATGGGATTTCACCCACTGGGAACAAAGGAGAAAATAAGATTTGTTCCTTCACTGTGCACATAAGACAGAATTGTTAAATTTTGCATTGGAAATGTAATGGATTTGAATGTGATCCATTTCTACACTTAAAATTATTAGTTTTGTGCATAATGTCTGCCATATGAAAATAGAAAATATAGAAAAAGCAAAAAAATGTTTAATGATCACTAGAATAACCATTCTGGTTGAGTGATGGTGTGGAAACATGTTCCCAAATTGTATAAACAGAGAAGTCTGGAAGATTTTAAAAATATCCCACTGCTGGTGTTTAATGCAAACAATGAGGAATGTTCGATAAAACAAAACAGAGAGCCAACACCTGGATTCAAAAAAACCTGCCTTAGTTCCACCTGATTATTGGATCTCTTGATTGATCTTGATTTTCCCCCACCTATCAAGAGAGAGAGTTGGACCCAGGGACCCCAAAGAATTTGAGGAGATAGCCATTTCTATTACAGACCCATGGACATGATTCTCTGGTACAACCATCAGCCACTCCTGTGACATGAAATCGTCCTTTGTTAACTAGAGCAAAGCATTCTTCCAGAGTTCCTGGCAATATATCTTCAAGGCATACCCACCAAACAGCGGGATGACCTTCCCAATGAGCTGCTCTGGTGGGGTAGAGAAGAGCAGTAGAGGAGATGAACCCCTACTAGGGTCCTGAGCTGGGCCTTGCTTCAGGGATGCTGTCAGCAGGGTATATCAACCTACACACTAAAGGTCTGATGATTTGGAATAAGGTAGACAAGTACATTGATTTCCCAAGGCCAAAGTTCAATTTTCTTGCAAAGGCTTTGGTTAGAACATTCATATTTTTCACAGGTATAAGGATTCTTCTACTTTAACAGGAAGATCTGGACTCACTGTTAGAAACTGTGTGGAATTTTCCCAGAGCAGAAGTGATTTTGCTCATTCTTTTCGACAGAGACTGACACAGCTAAAAGGGGTTTATGCCAGGCTTCCCAAGAACTGGAAAAATAAAAAAAAAATCCTACTATCTAGAAAGGGCTGGAAGAAATTCATTGCTTGGTGCCCACAGCTCAGAATATACGTCAATGAAATGTCAAGTGATTTTGTGAATGTTATTTACTAGAAGAAATAGTGTGATTGGCCAGGATTTTTAATGGGGGGAAGTTGGTATCTTTTGGAACCCACAGGTCAGACAAGACCTTGTCTGAAGAATTATAAATCCCATGATGGAATACAGCTTGTTCCAACCCTTGCTTCAGAGCTCTACTTAGGGACCACCTTTAAGAGAGCTTGCTCTTGAGCGGCCCGTGTGAATGCATTCCCTCTACCCTGCTTTTGCTTTCTCTATTCTTCATACAATATACAATTTCACGTTGGCATGCAATTGCCCACCTGCTTCCATTAAAAAACAAGCTTCCAACCCTCCCTGGTGGCACAGCGGGGTAAAGCACAGCACTGTGAAGCTGTCACAGCCACTGTGGTGGGAGTTTGATCCCTGCCCAGAGGTGACCCACATGGCACAGCAGACCTCTCCTGTCTCACCACTACTCCCCTCAGCAGCGTACTTTGTCCACCTGCCTGTTCTGCTGCCCACTCTATAGTGAATCCTCTCATGGCCCCCGCACCTTTAGCCTGTGCCCCAGTTCTGTGTGTATAAATAAATAAATCTTAAAAAAAAAAGATAGAAAGCTTCCTTAAGATGCCAAATTTCTGTTCATACATCTTCAGGGTCAACAAAACACGTGGCAGGTGCTCAGCAACTTATGTTATGAATTAACGTCAGAAACCCTCCGGGTGAAGAGAGAAAATGTAAGAGCAATATGTAATAAAGAATAATTTAAGTATCAGTCACCACACCCCTGCCCCAGGCAAATGGGGACAGCTTTTTAGTACCCAGAAAATCACATCATCACTAGGAGCCTGTGACCACAGAGATGGGTGTTTCTAATGGAAAGTTTTATGCCTTTCTCCTCACGGACTGTCAAAGTGCAGTCTGATGTCAAGTCCTACTGGTGTTTTCTTGCAATAAGGGAGCTGCTTCCTGGCTCCTGGCCTGCTGCATGGCTTTTTGGTGAAGGCCTCTCTCCCTAAGCACATTCCACAGCTAAACATGCCTTGGGTTGCACTGCCCTAGGTGCTGGCTCTCACAAAGACAGCCTTCTCCTAGGTCACCTCTGGGTCAGAAGGACAGCTGTCAGCGGGGGCTGGGTACTTACTGCTGGAGCAGGAGGCTTCCCTGGGGCTGGAGGCCATCGGCTGTGCACAGAGCTGACACAGGCAGTCTCTCCCATTGAACGTGACTCGGTCTCCAGGTGGAAACGGGCGCCTGCGGACAGAAAGACAAAGCCCGCAAGGTCATTCCAGCCACCGCCTGCCTTCCCCTTCCTCCTCCTGCCTGCTGCCCTCCGGGGCCGGTTCGTTTCTTGGAGGGCCCCAGCCAACATGTCTGACATGTAGTCACCACCAAGCCAGCCAGCTGGATAGCATCCAGACAAATAAATGCACCTCATTTTGAGAAGAAGGATGAATGTGCTGCTTCCTCAAGCAACCAGATGGTAAAATGGACCCATTTACCTTTGCTCCTTAGTGGAGGGATGTTTCAACAAGTCACCTAGCAGGGCACACACGAAAACGTTCCAAAATGGAAACGCCTTCATGAAGATGCATTTTAAATCCCCTAGATTCCTATTCAAGCTGAAGGCCCTTCCCCAAGAGAAATGGCTACAGTGAAGCACTAACTACTTCAGCTCCCTGGGCCTGCATAGATGGCAGTGCAGCCGGGGAGACATTACTGTGGGCCTCTGAGGGATGAACTAGAACTTCCCGGTGCTGGTGAACCAGCCTCTTACAGACTTGAGAGCTAGGACAATGCCTGAAAAACCTGTTTAAAACTGAGTATTAGCTTCTTTCCAAAACGACAATAAAACTATCATCAAACACAGCACATTCTGCAAAAATAGTGTCTTCTGAGTGTTGTCAGTTTCTTCTACTTCAGCAGGCAGGCAGCCTTTCAGGACAGTTATTAATTAATGAACATAGGACAGTTCCCATTTCTTGCTTATTTGCAATTGGCCAACTTGATAACAATCCTCATCAAAATGAGTTTTCAAATGTGTGATTCTGCCCAGTAGGAAATGTAAAACTCTTGAGCAAAACATCCCCACACATTTGAGTCAGAGCAATTTCTGGAGAACAAATTCCAGCTTTTGGACAGGAGCTTTGCTTCCACAGCTGCTATCCTTCCTTTGAGTGGCTCTTTCACTGCTCCTGAGTTTTAATTCACTGTAATACACATGGCGGTGGTAAACTTGGACTTGAAACAGTTCTAAACATGTACTTGGTTTCTGACTTCAAGGACAATTTACACACTTTCACACCCCATTATGGGAATACTAAGGTGAGGAGTCTCCCCTTCTCTCATGATACTGGGTCACCTTCTGTCATTCAAGTAGGGTCCAGAGAGGTGAACTTGCCTGGACTGGCCAGCTACGGACACCAGGCCACAGGCAGGTCCAAGTCAGAACTGGTTTTAGTAACCCAAGTCATGCTCTGGTGGAATTAAGCAAAGTACTGCTTCACACTCAACACTGAAGCCTGAATGAGCTGCCAGGCTGCTTTGGGTATCAGGGTTTAGGGTCCATAAGCCCAGGTTCTTAGCCTCTGGTCATGGCCAGGACTAGGTAAGGCCAGCAGGAATCTGGGACTCAACACTGAAGGAGAACTCTC